TCTATTTCTAGATTTTTCCTAAGGAGGGGGAACCCTGAAACACACACACAAAAGTCTTTACATAAATACATTCCTTTTAAAAATTTATAATAAAAATATAAATAACTGTTCCCCCATTTGACTATATTAGGCTTAACAAAGCTACCTTCATAGGTTAGACTATTATGCATCTTTTCACAAGTATGTTTATAAAGACAGAAGTAAAGGGAAATCCAAAGGAATATAAATCGTTCTATCATAAAGACATGCACACATATGTTCATTGCAGCACTATTCACAGCAAAGAGAAGGAATCAACCTAAATGGCCATCAGTAGTAGACTGTTTAAGGAAAATGTGCTACATATACACCATGGAATACTAGACAGCCATAAAAAAACAAGATCATGTCCTTTGCAGGAACATGAATAGAGCTAGAGCGCATTATCCTTAGAAAACTAACACAGGAAGAGAAAACCAAATACCACATATTCTCACTTATGAGTGGTAGGTAAATGAATAAGAACACATGGACACATAGAGGAAGAACAGTGGACACTGGAGCCTACCAGATGGTAGAGGGTCGGAGGAGGGAAAAGATCAGGAAAAATAACTAATGGCACTAAGCTTAATACCTTGGTGATGAAATAACCTGTACAACAAACTCCCAAGATACAGGTTTACCTGCATAAAAAATCTGCACATGTACCCCTGAACTTAAGTTTTTGTTGTTGTTGTTTTGTTTTGTGATGGAGTCTCGCTCTGCTACCCAGGCTGGAGTACAGTGGCACCATCTCAGCTCATTGTAACCTCAGCCTCCCAGGTTCAAGCTCACTGCAACCTCCACCTCCTGGATTCAAGTGATTCTCCTGCCTTAGCCTCCTGAGTAGCTGAGATTACAAGTGCCCACCGTGATGCCCAGCTAATGTTTTTTTTTTGTATTTTTGGTAGAGGTGGGGTTTCACATGTTGGCCAAGCTGGTCTTGAACTCCTGACCTCAAGTGATCTGCCCACCTTAGCCTCCCAAAGTGCTGGAATTATAGGCGTGAACCACCATGCCTGGCCCCAAATAAAAGTTTTTTTTTTTTAAGTTTACCAAAAGGACACACAAAAAAAGAAGGAAAGGGAAATCACTGTGTTTTGATATTAAGTGGATAAAGCAGGAGAATCAATATATAATGTATATATCTACATACACACACATACCTATACATACATGTCCTCACCTGTAAAGTGGCTAAATGATCTCTGAGGTCCGAAGTATGACTTTATAAAGTGAAGAGAGCAATTAGGTATCTTATCAGTGTATTGTCATCACATGTCCTCAATGTCTGAAATGTATAAAACGATGCCAGTAACACTTGCTACTTGTATGAGGTCAGATTCCCTAGGAGAGCCTCAGACAGAGGTTGAGATGTGTGTGATTTACTAGGCAGAGGCACTTCAGGAAAAGCTCGTGAGGAAAACAGACTAGGGAGGAGGAAAAAGGCAAGCAAGTATGTACTTTATGTATGTATGTGTTGAGATGGAGTCTCACTTTGTCACCCAGCCTGGAGTGCAGTAGCACGATCTTGGCTCACTGCAACCTCCGCCTTCAGGGCTCAAGCAATCCTCCCACCTCAACCTCTCTAGTAGCTGCCACTACACATGGCTACTTTTTAAGTTTTTTGTAGAGATGGGATTTCGGCCTGTTGCCCAGGTTGGTCTCAAATTTCTGAGTTCAGGTGATGCACCCTCATCGACCTCCCAAAGGGCTGGGATTACAGGCTTGAACCACCGCGCCCGGCAGAGGATGTACTTTCAGGAGCACGTAAATCACACCACTGCACTGCAGGTCGTTCCCATACCCAGAGCAATTCTTGGGGTTGGGAGGTGGGTTGGGGAATCTGTGAGCCCTTAACAGCCAGGCTCAGTGGCCTTAATTTCGGAATTTTGTTCTCCTGGGTAAAATAAGGTGACTGAATTAAATCAATGAAGCTTCCTTCACCTGAGCCTCGGAATCTCAGCTTTCCATGCAGTGTTCTGGGATTAAGGTGTATAACTTTTGCCAGATTCTTTGAGGAGAGGGTGAACCAGGAAAGCTAACATCAAGCTTCCTTCCACCCCAGCACTCTGAATAGGAATGTGAGAAGAGACTTAGGTCAGAGGAGGAAGCAAAGCACTGAATTCTTAGTTCTAGTTTTAGAAATACAATCCACCAGAACAAGTATTCTTTGGTCTCACCTTATCCCAACCCCCATGCAAATTTAGGAAAATTAAAGGCAGTTCCCCAGAACCCACTCAGACCTACTCACTTTCACAACTACATCTTTTCATTTCTGCCATCTCCCGGTGAGGGGGGTGTTATCTTCATTTTACAGCAGGGAAAACTGAGGTGCCTGTGATGTGACTCATTCAGAATCCCACAGCACCCCCTTGTGGTGTGGATCTATGGTCAAGACGTGCTGTGGAAACCAAAGGGCTTGTGTTTCTTGATTTTTTTTTTCTTTCTTTTTTTTAGATAGGTTCTCACTCTGTCACCCAGGCTGGAGTGCAGGGGCGTGTTCTCAGCTCACTGCAGTGTCAACTTCCTAAGTTCAGGTGATCCTCCCACCTCAGTTTCCTGGGTAGCTGAGACCACAGGTGCACACCACCAGCACAGCTAATTTTTGTATTTTTTTTGTAGAGACAGGGTTTCACCATGTTGGCCAGGCTGGTCTTGAACTCCTGGGCTCAAGCGATCCACCTGCCTCAGCTTCCCAAAGTGCTGGGATTACAGGCATAGCCACCATGCCTAGAGAAATACTTTTGTTTTTAAAAATACAGTTTTTCTCTTTCAAAGGTGATACTTTAAAAATTCAACAAGTGAGAAAGTAAAAAAAAGGGAATCCTTTTACACTGTTGGTGGAATTGTAAATTGGTGTAGCCATGGTGGAAAACAGTTTGGAAATTTCTCAAAAAATTAAAAATAGAATATGATCGAAAAATCCCACTTCTGGGCATATATCCAAAGGAATCAAAATCAGTATCCCAAAGAGACATCTTCACTCCTGTGTTCACTGCAGCATTATTCACAATAGCCAAGACATGAAAGCAACCAACCTAAATTTTCAAAGACAAATTGATAAAGAAAATGTGGTATATATACATACAATGGAATATTATTTAGTCTTAAAAGAGAAAGAAAGAATCTTGCCATTTGCAACAACATGAATAAACCTGTACATATTATGCTAAGTGAAATCAGCCTAACACAGAAGGACAAATACTACATGATACCACTTAGATGAGGTATCAGATATAGTCAAACTCATAGAATCAGAGAGTAGAATGGTGGTTGCCAGGGCATATGGCAAAGGAAGATGGAGAGCTATTGGTCAAACAGCACAAAAAATTTCAGTTATGCAATATGAATAGGTCATATACATCTGTACAACATAGCGCCTGTAGTTAATAATATTGCATTGTATAGTTAAAAATTTGCTAAGATGGTAGATCAATGTTAAGAGTTCTTATCACAAATAATAATGAGGGCAGGAGGAAACATTTGGAGGTAATTAATATGTTTATGTCATAGACTGGAAATGGTTTCATGGATGTATACTTATCTCCAAACTCATCAAGCTGTATGCATTAAATATGTACAGATTTAAAATAAATAGGTAAAGTCACAGCAGCAGTCAGAGAAGATTATATATTTCACATTGCTCTCAGATCATATTTTCGAAGCAAGAATCTGTATAGGACTTCGACATCTGGAGTTCTGATGCATTTCTTGTACCTTAAATAGGGATTGCATGATTAATAAACTCCCATATAGTTAAAAAATTAGCAACACAGAAATGTAAAATATAAATGGAAGGCTTAACTCCCCTGGACTTTAAGTAGTCTAGTAGATTCTTCTTTTATTTTTCTTCTTTTTTTTTTTTTTTTGTTTAGACAAGGTCTCCCTCTGTGGCCCAGGCTGGAGTGCAGTGGTGTGATCTTACTGCGGCTTTGAATGCCTAGGCTCAAGCGACCCTCCTGCCTTAGCATCCTAAGTACCTGGGACTAAGCATGCATACCACTATGCCCAGCTGGATTCTTTTTTAGATAGATACATAGAGATAGATTTGTTTGCTTAATTGATTGATTAATTTTTACAAAAATGGAATCATATTGTACATCCTGTCCTGAAACTTCTGTCCTATTAGACAGTATATCACAAAAATTTTTCATGTCAGAAGATAAAGACATACCACATTCATTTGAAAACAGTAGTAAAAACATGTACGTATGTTACAGACCACCAGTATATTCATTAAACGGCTAGATTAAATCATTTTGGTAAACAATGTGGAATGAAACTTCTGCTGTCTTAGAGCAATTATTTGAACTTCCTGTAAACTGATTATGAAGGCTGTAGTTCTGCACTATTCAAAAAAAATTCAGGAACTTTACAGGACCACTAACAAGAAATTGTTCAAATAAGATGCTCTCACAGCCCTGGGGCTGCCCTCCAGGAAATGTTGGGTAATGTGCAGGTCCATCTGCTATGTGCAGGTGCTCATCACATCATAATGAAAAACTGTGCAATAGCAAGAGAACATACAAGCTGCCTTACCATGATTATAGTGTATTATATATATGTTATATTATATATAATTATATATAATATGTGTTATATATAATGTTATATATATAACATGTATTATATATATGATATATTATATATAATAATATATAATAAATAAATTGTATAACATATATTACTATTATATATAGTTATATGTAGTTTTAGCTCTTATAATTTTGGTGTCCTGCCTGTCTAACCCCTTATCCTTATGACAGAGTTTTTATAAAGTTTGAGTGCTTATGGTTTACCTTTTTTTTAAGAGATAAGATCTCTGTCTCTCAGGCTGGAGTGCAGTGGTGTGATCAGAGCTCACTGTAACCTCAAACTTCTAAGCTCAAGCAATCCACCTACCTCAGGCTCCTAAGTAGCTAGGACTACAGACACACACCACCATACCTGGCTAATTTTTAATTTTTTTGCGGAGACAGGTCTATTTTGCTTAAGCTGGTCTTGAACTTCTGACCTCAAATGATTCTCCCATCTCAGCCTCCGAAGTGTTGGGATTACAGATGTGAGTAACCATGTCTGGCCTAGCTTTTAATTTTATAAATGTTATTATATTTCAGTAGAAGTAAAATAAGTAAGCTAAGAACTAGAAGCCAAATGGTGTATTGATAGACAGATAGCTAGACAGGCATAGATATAGATGTATAATTACTTAACAAATCCTATTAAAATCAGGAAATCTAAGTAGCTTCTAACTGAGTTAACTGAGCTTACTATGGCAATGCAGAAACATAATTGTATCAACCTTACAATGCAGATAAAGTTCCAGGAGTGAAATTTTAAATATAACATTATTTTACTTAACCTGTAAAACAAATGAAAAGTGACGGTTTTGAAACTTTAAGTAAATGCTTGACTGTGATAGCACCAAGTATCTGAATTTTTTTCTTTTTTTCTTTTGAGACAGAGTCTTACTCCATTTTGCAGACTGGAGTGCAAAGGCAAAGTCGCAGCTCACTGCAGCCTCAAACTCCTGGGTCAAGCCATCCTCCTGCCTCAGCCTCCTGAATAGCTGGGTCTACAGGTGCACCCCACCATGCCCCCCAGCTAATGAATATTTTCTTTTTCTTTTTTTTTTTTTGAGACAGAGTCTCCCTGAGTCATCCAGGCTTTCCTCTGTCCAAGCAGTGGTGCGATCTTGGCTCACAGCAAACTCTGCCTCCCAGGTTCAAGGAATTCTCCTGCCTCAGCCTCCTGAGTAGCTGGGAGTACAGTCATGCACCACCACTCGCAGCTAATTTTTGTATTTTTAGTAGATATGGGGTTTCACCATGTTGGTCAGGCTGGTCTTGAACTTCTGACCTCAAATGATCCACCTGCCTCAGCCTCCAGAGTACTAGGATTATAGGCGTGAACCAGTGTACCAGGTCAATGAATATTTTCAAATTGGATTTATTGAACACCTCATAATGTTTCAGTACATATCTAAAAAGTGCATTATACTGGAAAAAAACAGCTTAGCGTGGTGGTTAATGGTTTCAATTCTGGAGTCAGACCATCCTGGGTTTGAATCCTAGCTCTGTCTATCTCTAGCTAGTTGATCCTTGGGCAGATAATATCACCTTTTCGAGCTTCAGTCTCCTCATCTGTGAAATGGGTTTATTAGTCTCCATTTTAAAGGAACATTGCAAGAATTAAATGAGATCATGGAGTTAAAAAGCTTAGCACAATGCCGATGTCAAATAAGTGTTAGAGATTATTACTGTTTTAAAGAAAGGAGAAACAGCGGCCACTCAGGGCCAAGGGGAAGGATGCTCTTCTCTGAGGTCTTGCTGAGCCACAAGTAGCTTGTCAGGACTGCCTTGTCACATCAGCCTAACCCCTATGTCGTGTGTTCTCAGCCACTTCACTGCATGATCTCACTCCCAGTGAGTACTCACACCTCCAGATGCCCTCTATTATACTTTTTTTTTTCCGTTCTGACATCTGCATGGAAAAAGAAAAGAAGCTCTTAGAGTTAAGTATGAAACAGGCCAGTGATGACAGTCAGAGAAGAGTCCTGCTGCTGGCCTCTGACGAAAGCCACCAGAGGGGCTTTGATGCAAACCTAATCTGAAGAAAGGACTTCGATTCCAGGCTCAAAATTCAGAGCGAATTCATTTTTTCTTTTTCATGTAATTAATACGTATGCTTTGTTTAACAACAACAACAAAACTGCATAGTCCAGACAAATGAAATGCTAAGTCTCCTGTCCCAAACGCTTCTAGTTCCGGTTTCTTGTTCCTTTTTAATTACTGGTTTCTGGGCTTTTGGGGATCACCTTTATTGTAGGTGAATTTGAGTGGAACATTCTGATGAAAGCATTATAGGGACCTACGTCATGATATGTTGAACCTAAGGGAACAAGAGGATTCTATGTCCTGGTTGAGGCCAGTGTCATCATTGGCGGATACCATCTTTGCAGAATTTGAAAATGAAATTTTGAATAAATGAGCAGATGATGATCAAAGAAGCCAGAAGAGCCAGAAGAACTTTTCAGTTTACATCTTACTACAACCATCCCCAGAGTGCCTGGGCAGAGCAGGCAGGGGGCCATTAATAAACCAGACAATGCCCACAGCTTGTCCAAGGAGCAGGGCTTGAAAATCAGACCGGGAACCTGATTCTTCCTGTCCTAACCAGGCACCTGGAATGGTGATGGAATGAACCTGGCTGTGAATGGTCCAGACCTGGCACCCAGACAGACCCTTGAGAAGAAAGATAGGAATAGTCCACCTACTGGGGTACAGGGTTCCCCCAGCCAAGCCAGCCACATGAAAACCTAGAACAAACCAAGACTCTACTCTTCTCATAGACATGCCAGCCAACTTGTAACTTACCTAGCAGGAATTTAGAAGTGGATTAAGGAAATAAGAATGATCCAGGTTGATTTCACTATGGTCAGATGCCAGTAAAATAAATCTAGATTATCATTATGTATTTATACCCACAAAGAGAAGGACTTGGCATGGATTGCAAAGTATTTAATTATAATTTAGACATATTATGGCACTCAGTGTTTTGTTTTATTATACCATTCATTTATTGACAGGCCAATGTGACCACAGAAAATTTAACATCCCAACCAGTCCTTCTCCCTGACTGCCTGTATTGCTAGGAAGAATGAAAATTAGCTGTATAGGAAAAAAAAAAAGATTCACTTTCATAAGTAGTCCACATGTACTGTTGTAAAGATTCACTGTCATAAGTAGCCCACATGTGATGTCCTAAGCGCAGTGAATGTAGGGGAGGAGAGCTGAGTCTCTAAGCACACAAGCTCTTTGAAGCATCTCTGCCTGGCAAAGGCTCTTCTCCCGGCCTCCAAGTTATCCTTTCAGACTCACCTCTCTTTAAAACCTTTCACCTCCCAGTTAGGATGAATTTCTTCTTCTTTTCTCCTTCTGGGGTGTCCTGTTCTTACCTCAATAATTTTTTCAGTGATGTGTTCTAATTACTAGTTTAAGAATCTGCCTCTTGTACTGGTCAGTGAGCCTTTCCAGAGGGCAAAAGACTGCAAGAATTGCCTTATTCATTTTGGTACATCCACACAAAGAAGGACTGTGCTACAGTAAAAGAGAAAAAGGAATTATCAGGCATCAGCGAAATGAAAATGAAATCCACCATGAGGTATCACTTTACATCCACTAAGATGGCTATATTCAAAATGTCAGATAATAACAAGCGTTGATGGGGATAAGGAGAATTCAGCACCCTCGTACATTGCTAGTGGGACAATAAACTGGTGCCACAGCTGTGGAAAACAGCCCTTTGGTTCCTTAAAAGATTAATCATAGAGTTACCACATGAGAAATGAGAAAGCCAAGTATAAAGGGGTCACCGGAGAACCTCCAACTGTCCTGCTCACTGGGAGGAGTGTGCACTGGGGGTGGAGCCTCAGGAAGTTTGCATGTTTGCAGGTGGGAGGAGCCTGGCCTCTCCTATTCCAGGGAGGTATCTGGGATTCAGTCTGTGAGTCAGAAATCCAACTAGCAGGATCTTTGCTTTGCTGAGAGTCTCTGTTTCCCCCCCTTTTTTCCTTTTTATTCAATAAACACTTCCTTTCTCACCCTTCAAAGTGTCTGTGAGCCTAATCTTTGATGGTCGCATGACAAGAACCCAGGTTTTAGCTGAACTAAGGAGAAAGTCCTACAACACAGATAAATACCCAAGATAATTAAAACTGCACATCCACACAAAAACTTATACATGCATGTTCATAGCAGCATTGCTCATGAGACAAAAAGTGGAAACAATTTGAGCACCCAGCAACTGTCAGATGAAGCAATAAAATGTGTTGTATCTATACAATGGCATATTATTCAGCAATTAAAAAATATGAAGTACTGATACATGTTACAACATGGATGATCCTTGAAATTATGCTAAATGAAAGAAGACAGGGGCAAAAGATGACACATTATTTGATTCCACATATATGTAGTGTCCAGAACAGGCACATCTACAGACACAAAGTAGGTTGCTGGCTCCCCAGTGAGTAACTGCTAATGGGTACAGATTTCTTTTGGGGGTGAGGAAAATGTTATAAAATTGATTGTAGTGATGGTCACACAACTCTGTGAATACACTAAAAAACACTGAATACTTTAAATGGATCAATTTTATGGCATGTGAATTATTATCTTAATAAAGCCGTTATTTAAGAAAATTAGAACAAGCTCTTTCATTCTGGTGTGGTTTCTGCCATATAAAGTTACCAAAAAAGGCAAGGTGTAAAAGAGTATACTTTATAATTTATGTTTGAAAAGGGGGGCATATTAAAATGTGCACGCATCAGCTAATTCTTGCAGAAAGAATCACAGAAAGGATAAATCAGAAATTAATGATAAGCTGGACACAGTAGTTCATGCCTGTAATCTGAGGCAGATGGATCATTTGAAGTCAGGAGCTTGAGACCAGCCTGGCCAACATGGCAAAACCCCATCTCTACTAAAAATACAAAAATCAGCCCCACATGGTGGTGGATGCCTGTAATCCCAGCTATTTTGGAGGCTGAGGCAAGAGGATTGCTTGAACCCAGGAGGCAGAGGTTACAGTCAGGAGGTGGAGGTTGCAGCAAGCCGAGATCATGCCACTGTACTTCAGTCTGGACTACAGAGCAAGACTCTGTCTTAAAAAAGAAAAAAAAATTAATGATAATGTCCCCTACAGAGGGAGAGTATGCAAAGGGTGGAAGGGGAAGAGAGGTAGTGTCACTTCTCTGACTAAAACTTTTTGTATAGTTTTGACTTTTGGAAACATGTTGGTGTTTTTATAAATTCAAAAAAAATTAACAAAGTTGGCAGAAAAACAAATTGGACACAACATGAATTGAGCTGTATAGCGAATGATATAAACATATGGGGAAAAAAAGGACTGTGCACATATAAACAGCCTAATGACAGAAAAAACTGCAAATACATCTTGAACTTTGGCGTAGTAGTTTTGTTATTGGCAGTGCAATGATAGGAATTCTGGAAGTATTTTCTGGATATTGCAGGATAGAGTCAATGACTAAATTTACACTGAAATATTTGGAAACCAGAGCTTTTGCTGAACCAGAGACTTTGCTGTTGCATTTCATATGCAAATACGAAATGGGGGCTAGAGATGAAGAACTGTGTGCTGGAATCACTATAAAGTCATGATTTTAAATATGTGGGTATAGATTTCCTATCTTTATTGGCCAAAAGTGTTTAAAAGCAGCCACAATGCAGTAGCAATATCCACACTTAGTGCTCAGATCTTGGTTTCTAAATTCCAGTTCCCATTAATAGGAATCAGTGCTTCTTAGAAAAAAAAAAAATAGCTGCTTCCAGCACTGGGCCAGGGAATGCAGAATGAATATCTCGTGCAAAGGAGTGCCCCAAAGATGATGAGGAACTGTCAAAAGGTCTCTGAAGGGATTCCCACTGTGCAAATAAGGAACAATTTGAGCATCAAAATAAATATCATCCAGCCTGGGCAATATGTCGAATCCTTGGCTCTCCAAAAAACACAAAAAATTAGCAGGGTGTGGTGATGCATGCTCGTAGTCCCAGCTACTTGGGAGACTGAGGTGGGAGGTTCACCTAAGCCCGGGGAGGTTGAGCCTGCAGTGAGCTATGATCATGCTGCTACACTCCAGCCTGGGTGACAAAGTGAGGCCCTGTCTCAAAAAATTAAGAAAATAAATATCATTAGTAACAGATTATAACATTAAATAAAATGGGAATTCATGAGCCCATACTGATACAAACAAATGAATAAGTAAGTAGGTAGATAGATGATAGATAGGAAAACTTTTCTTTACATTGGAAAGCCAATTGAGGCTGGGTGCAGTGGCTCATCCTTATAATCTGGGAGGCCGAGGCAGGTAGATCACCTGAGATCAGTTCGAGACCAGCCTGGCCAATGTGGTGAAACACCATCTCTATGAAAAACACAAAAATTAGCCAGCATGGTGGTGCATGCCTGTAATCCCAGCTGCTCGAGAGGCTGAGGCACCATTGTTTGACCCCAGTGGCAGAGGTTGCAGTGAGCCAAGATCATGCCACAGCACTCCAGCATGGGCAACAGAGTAAGACTCCATTTCGGAAAAAAAAAAAAAAAAAAAAAAAGAAAGTCAATTGATAAAAGTAAACACAATGATGAAATTGGAAAAATCACTATGTGGCAATCATCATAGCAATAAGAAATTTAACTAAAAATATCAAATGATAAAATTAGTGGGTGAATGATGAGAAACAGGATACTGACATGGTCTCAAAATAACTCTCCACAAAATACTGAGTATAAACAGAAAGCAAGTAACTATAAGCAGTAACATGAGGCAGAGAGCACTTTAATCAAATAATGAAGGTTAACATCAGCATGTTAGACAAACTGAAATCGCACACCATGTCATACGATACAATGAGGACACGTAGCCTCACTTCTGTGATACCCTACCAAAATGCAAGTCATGAATCTAATCACAAGGAAGCATAAGGCAAAGGCAAACTGAGGGACATCCTGCAAAATAATTGACTTTTAAGAGAGTCAAGGTCATAAAAGCCAAAGAAAGATAAATAAATATGGCAACTAAATGCAACATGTATTCCTGGACTGGATCCATTTGCAATAAAGGACATTAATAGAACAATTGGAGAAATGAATGGGGTCTGTGGATCAGATGATAGTAATTATCAGTATTAACTTCCTGATGTAAATGGTTGTATCGTGGTTATGTAGGAGAAAGTTCTTGTTTGTAGGAATATTTTTTTTCTGTTTTTTTAAAATTGCATTTCAGGTTTTGGGGTACATTTGAAGAACATGCAAGATAGTTGCATAGGTACACACGTGGCAGTGTGATTTGCTGCCTTCCTCCCCTTCACCTATATCTGGCATTTCTCCCCACGCTATCTCTCCCTGACTCCCGACCCTCTGCTGTCCCTCCCCTATTCCCCCCAACAGACCCCAGTGTGTAGTGCTCCCCTCCCTGTGTCCATGTGTTCTCATTGTTCAACACCCACCTATGCGTGAGAACATGCAGTATTTTATTTTCTGTTCTTGTGTCAGTTTGCTGAGAATGATGTTCTCCAGGTTCATCCATGTCTCTATGAAGGACACGAACTCATCGTTTTTGATTGCTGCATAATATTCCATAGTGTATATGCACCACATTTTCCCTGTCCAGTCTATCATCGATGGGCATTTGGGTTGATTCCAGGTCTTTGCTATTGTAAACAGTGCTGCAATGAACATTCATGTGCATGTGTCCTTATAGTAGAACGATTTATAATCCTTTGGATATATACCCAGTAATGGGATTGCTGGGTCAAATGGAATTTCTATTTCTAGGTCCTTGAGGAATTGCCACACTGTCTTCCACAATGGTTGAACTAATTTACACTCCCACCAGCAGTGTAAAAGTGTTCCAAATTCTCCACATCCTCTCCAGCATCTGTTGTCTCCAGAATTGTTTAATGATCGCCATTCTAACTGGCATGAGATGGTATCTCAATGTAGTTTTGATTTGTATCTCTCTAATGATGAGTGATGATGAGCATATTTTATGTTTGTTGGCCTCATGTATGTCTTCTTTTGTAAAGTGTCTGTTCATATCCTTTGCCCACTTATGAATGGGCTTGTTTTTTTTCTTGTAAATCTGTTTTAGTTCTTTGTAAATTCGGGATATCAGCCCTTTGTCAGATGGGTAAACTGCACAAATTTTTTCCCATTCTGTTGGTTGGCGATTCACTCTAATGACTGTTTATTTTGCTGTGCAGAAGCTGTGGAGTTTGATTAGGTCCCATTTGTCTATTTTGGCTTTTGTTGCCAATGCTTTTGGTGTTTTGGTCATGAAGTCCTTGCCTACTCCTATGTCCTGTATGGTTTTGCCTAGATTTTCTTCTAGGGTTTTTATGGTGCCAGGTCTTATGTTTAAGTCTTTAATCCTCTCCACCCCAAATCCACAGAATATACATTCTTCTCACACCTACTCTAAAATTGACCACATAATTGGAAGTAAGTCACTCCTCAGCAAATGCAAAAGAACGGAAATCATAACAAACAGTCTCTCAGACCACAGTGCAATCAAGTTAGAACTCAGAATTCAGAAACTAACTCAGAACCACACAGCTTCATGGAACTGAACAACTGGCTCTTGAATGTTGACTGGATAAACAATGAAATGAAGATAGAAATAAAGAAGTTCTTCAAAACCAACAAGAATGAAGACACAACATACCAGAATCTCTGGGACACATTTAAAGCAGTCTCTAGAGGAAAATATATGGCAATAAGTGCCCATATGAGAAGAGTGGAGAGATCCAAAATTGACACCCTATCATCAAAATTGAAAGAGCTAGAGAAGCAAGATCAAAAAAACTCAAAACCTAGCAGAAGACAAGAAATAACTAAGATCAGAGCAGAACCGAATAAGATAGAGAAACAAAAAACTCTTCAAAAAATCAATAAATCCAGGAGCTGGTTTTTCGAAAAGATCAACAAAATAGACCACTAGCTAGATTAATAAAAGAGAGAATAACCAAATAGATGCAATGAAAAACGATAAAGGGGAAATCACCACAGATCCCACAGAAATTCAAACCATCATCAGAGAATATTACAAACAACTCTATGCACATAAACTAGTAAACCTGGAAGAAATGGATAAATTCCTGGACTCCTGTGTCCTCCCAAGCCTAAACCAGGAGGAAGCTGAAACTATGAATAAACCAATAACAAGGTCTGAAGTTGAGGCAGCAATTAAGAGCCTACCACACAAAAAAAGCCCAGGTCCAGATGGGTTCACAGCAGAATTCTACCAGACACACAAATATTCAAAATTATTCAGGGATATTAGACATTATGCAGCAACTCTTCATCAAATGGTTCAGAGGATGGGGAAGCTCTTTGTTCTATTTTTGCACCTTAAGTTTGAATTTATTTCAAAAGTGAAAAGAAAAGATTCCATGAGTCCACACTTATACTAAAAACAAACATTAAAAAATAGGAAAAGAGAAAGTTTTTATTTACAGTAGAAAGCCAACTGAAAAAAAGTATAAGAACAATAGAGCTTTCAATATTACTATTTTTCAACTGCTGTGTTATTAATTGATTTAGGCAAAGACCATCAGTGGATCCTAAAATTATTGGGTGATAATTTGTTGAGGAACAAGATACTTATACAGACTCAAAGCATCTTCTCATACTACTTATTAATTACAAAGGGGAAAATGGTATATTTACCTAAGTCCGATAGGTACTACTTCAGCCAAGTGATTCAAGTTAACATCAGCCATGATGGTATGAACTGACAGCAGATGATTCCTGCTATGATGCACTAAAGGAGACACACAACATTTACATTGCATTCTTGATAAGAATGCATACTCATAATCAAATCACAAGAAGGCACTCAGACTAACCTCAGGTGCCCAGGTCTTAGTTTCTACATTGTATTAATCAACATTCTGTAAAACAGTAGGCAAGCACTCTTTCAAAATGAGGGCTGATAAATCACTGCACATTAAAGGACACTAAAGAAACATAATAATGGAATATAATGTGCGATCCTGGATTAAATCCTAGATTAAAGAAATAAAAAATTGCTATTTTCTTTTCTTCCCCCCAGCTCTGTCACCCAAGCTGGAGTACAGTGGTACAATCACAGCTCCCTGCAGCCTCAATCTCTGGGGCTCAAGTGATCCTCCTACCTCTGCCTCCCAGGTAGCTGAGACTACAGGTGCACACCACCACAACCTGCTAATTTTTTCTGTGTGTATTTTTTTTAGAGATGGGCTTTTGCCATGTGGCCCAGGCTGGTCTCATATTCCTGTGCTCAAGGGATCTATCAGCCTGCCTCAGTATCCCAAAGTGTTAGGATTACAGGCATGAGCCACTGCATCTGGCCTAAACATTGCTATATTCAACATTAGTATAGTAGTTAAATTTGGATAAAGGCTGTATAATAGATAATATTAGATCAATGTTAAATTTTCTGAATTTGATAATGAGACTGTCCTAATTCTAGTTAATCTTTTCAACTTACTCTCAAATGTTTCAGAGAAAAAAAAATAAGAGCATTTGTGTGAGAGAGAGAGACAGAGAGTGTGGGAGAGGTGGAGAGAGAAAGCACGAATGTGTCAGGTACTAATAAAATGTGAACTTTTCAAATTTTTGATTTATAAAGAAAAATTATCTCATTCAAATGTGTATTCTCAGAACTTCCTAGTATTGCCCTGGAATATAATGGATGCTCAATGTGTTCATTAAATGCTTAAATGAAATGGCAAAGTCTAATCAGGACTCTTATTTGCGAGTGATAAGACATTCAGTTGAAACTGCCTAAGTGTAATAGGAAGTCAGTACATTAAACTGTAAAATCGAAGGGTATAGCAGTTGGCATAGCTGGATCCAGGTGTTCACTTGATGTGATCAGGATCTGGACTCCTCTTTCTCTCTCAGCCCTCTTTTCCTTTTGTTGGCTTTACTCTCTGTTGTGGCTTGAATGTGTCCCCCAAAATTTCATATGCTAGTATGTTTGGAGGTGGTGAGGGCCTTTGGGAAGTAAGGTCATCAGGGTAGGGTTGAGCTGGCATGCTCTTGTCCTCTTGCAATGAGATGCCCTCCACTATGCTATGATGTAGTAAGAAGGCTCTAACCAAATGTGGATCCTTTGGCCTTGGACTTCGCAGCCTCCTGAATTGTAAGAAATAAACTGCCTTCCTTCCTTCCTTTCTCTCTTTCTCTCTTGAAAACTATAAAATAAGTAGGTGGGCATGTTCTCACTCATAAGTGGGTGTTGAACAATGAGAACACCTGGACACAGGGAGGGGAACATCACACACTGGGGCCTGTTGAGGGGGCAGCAGGGCTAGGGGAGGGATAGCAGGGGGTGAGGGGATTGGGGAGGGATAACATTAGGAGAAATACCTGATGTAGATGACGGGGGGATGGATGCAGCAAACCACTATGGCATGTGTATACCTATGTAACAATCCTGCATGAGCTGCATATGTACCCCAGAATTTAAAGCATATACATATATATATATAACCACAAAATAAATAAAGATTCTAATAAAAGTAAAACTAAAATAATTAGGTGGGAAAAAAACGTTTTACCACAATTTGCCTCAGAGGGTTCCTACAGACTAGCATTAACTAGAATACTTTAGAAGCAAAGGCGAATGACTATTCCTACCCCCTTCCCCTCTCACCCACACCCACAAAGTCCTAGAACTACAATCCCTTTAAGGACATCAGTATGAATATTTTTGTTATCTTCCTTCTTTAGTATTTTCAGAAACCTAACACATGCTGGACATAGCAGGTGCGATTCTAATTATAATGTAAGTGGGAGTCCACTGAGCCAACTATTTCAGAAGGGCTTTGAAAGTTGTATCAGAGCATTGAGCTCGTTGCAGCATTGTGCTGCCTGAACAGCAGCCCAGTTAAGCATAACTCCATTGAGTGTCAGCCTCCTTCTGGCCAGTTAAACCCCTGAGAGCTATGAGTGATTAAAAAAGAAGGAAAAAAAGCCAGCACCTGCTCCAGCTTTGGCAGAACCCTAAAATACAGCAACCATTTCTCGTGAGAGCTGAACATCACTGTCTGTAGTTGCTTTATTATCAAAAATCAATTTCTATCTATTAAATAACATAAATAGGATAGCCTTTCTCCCTTTCAAATTCACCACTTTTCTTCCTGACTGAAGGAATCTTTTTGAGCACTTGTGTGTAGATTTGGGGTGAGTGGGGAAGGGTTTTTCACCCCTGTCAAAAGCCATCAATTCCTGAAAAAGAAGGAATCCACTTGTAAAAGAATTTGTTTTTTCAGTTGACCACTTTTAAAAGTAAGCATAGAGCTTACTGTTTCTTGTTTGAGTTTTCTTTCCCAGGCAAACTGCAGAAGAATAAATGAAAAATATACACAGAAATATATACTTCTTTTCAGTAAATACCAGGTCCTCAATAAAAATAGGCTTCAGTTCAGTAAAACAGTACACACATAGAGAAAATGGCATTGAGAGAAAAGGGACAAGAAAGAAAAGAGGATAGAGAGTTAATGGCAGTGTATGGTCAAAGATGGGAAGAAAAAAGAAGTTGATCCCTTGATCAGACCACTCCCCACTCCAAACAACTTAGTCCCTAAACTCACCTTATATCCTAATTCTGCAAATGACACACCTCTTTAGCCTCCTCCAAGAGCCTCCCACACGCCTAGTCTATTCAGTTTGGTCATTGTTGCCCTGGATGCCCTGATAAAACCAACCTCGGGATCTTCTTTCCCCAAACTTGTCTCAATTCCTTGAAAAATGAAAAGCCAGTTAAACTCCTTGAGTGTTTAAAGGAGAACTCTTCCTACAATAGGTTATTCATCTTAATTATCCAGATCTTTTCCCAGAGTGCATACAATTTTGTTTGTTGCATTTTGGATGGCTCATTCTTAGGAGTCCAGAAAAAGTATATTGCCAGCTCTCTATAAATGCATCCATTCAACCAGCACTTCCTGTTTTCCTGTTGAATGCCCTCTGAGATACTGAGAACTCAAGATATTGGACTCAAGACGGCATTTCTCACCTCCTCCAACTTAGGTCTCTGTGACCAGACCATTAGGCAATCTGTCAAAATATCTTATGCGTGGCTCTATCATTTCTTTTACTTAAGTAAATGCAAGTTGCCAATAGTGAAGTTAGCCAAGCAGCGTACGTCTTAGAGGGAGAAATATCTATTCCTTAAACTTCACCCACAGAAACAATAAGGCAATTATAAGTCATTATTAAAGTAAATAAACTTTGTTACTTCCTTCCTCTCACCTCCCCATTTCACTCCCATCGATTCTGCAGTATCTCTTGGGGGAAAAAAGCACTGTACACAGAGAGAAGCTGAGGATAGACAAATGCACTTTAAAGTCCATGAACTCAGTAACTTATCTTCTCTCTGCCTATCCTTTGCTTTAGGTGGGGATTCAGAGTCAGCTTCCACTGTGCCTCTGTCTCTGGTCTTGGAACCTTCCAGTTCTATTAGATAATCCTTTTATGGCCTGGCATTTTTCCTGTCAAATACAATTACTAGTTAATCTGATGGCTGTCTCCTCTCACGAAGAAAGTTTTTACAAAACTTGCCAAGACCAGTTGAAGACTAGACCAAATCTAGTCTCAGAGATCCAGGCTTCTCCCTGGCCTCCCTCTGGTTCTGACAGTGATGACAGGGCAATGCTATCAGCAGGCTGGTGTGAGGGAGACCCCTGCCCTGATTCTATTTATTTTCTGAACTTTAGGCCCAGAGTAAGGCCAAATGTCCTTTGCATGTGATTGTGAAACCAGTTAACTTTCTGATCTATCATAAGGGCAGTGGAGTGATCTGCACAAAAATTATGCCTCTGCTCAGAAGTCTCCAGCGAATGCCCATCTCACTCAGAGAAAGGCTGCTACTGTCCTTCAGTGGTCTACAAGCCCCACCAACACATACGCACCCATCTGACTAACGTGTTCTTCCACCTCTCCCTTGGTGTCTCTACAGACGTGACCCTCTTGCTGCTCCTCCAGCATCTCAATCTTTTATTCACCACTGGGTCTTTGCATTTGCTGTCTCCTGTGCCTGGAATGCTATTCCCCCAGGTAGCCACTGGCTTACTTCCTCCATTCCTTGCACTCACTGCTCAAAAGTCACTTTGTCAGTGATACCTTTCTTGATGTTATTCATAAAACAGCAGCAGCCCACTCCCACAGTTCACATACCATACAATTTGCTCATTCAAAGTATACAATTCAACAACTTTTAGTATTCTCAGAGTTGCACATCCATCACCACTATCAACTGTAGAACATTTTCATCACCCCAAAAAGAAACTCTGCACCCTTTGATCATCACCCTCTGACACACCAGTTACTCCAGATCCCCAATCATAGCCAACCACAAATCTACTTTCAGTCTCTGTATATTTGCCTATTCTGGACTTTTCATATGCATGAAATTATATAGTATACAGTCCTTTGTGACTGGCTTCTTTCACTTACCATAATGTTTTTAAGATTCATCCATGTCGTGGCATGTATCAGTACTTCATTGCTGCTTCTTGGCAGGGAATATTCCATATGGATATACGACATCTTATTCCTCTACTTATCAGTAGGTGAACATCTGAGTTGTTTTCACCTTTTTGGCTACTGTGAATAATGCTGTTAAAGACATTTGCGAGCAAGTTTTTATGTGGTCACATGTTGTTTCTCTTGGGTACATACCTAGAGATGGATCCCCATCGTTTGTGTCATGCTTTATTTGAGCACTTGTTACCAACTGAGGTTTTATATATTGACTTGTTTTTTGTTTTATTGCCGGCCCTTCTCCCACTAGAATATACAGTCTAATGCAGGATCTTGATCTGTTTTGTTTGCTGCTTAGAATAGTGCCTGGCCCACAGCAACCACGAAACAAATACATGTTATACGAATGATTTAAAGAATGCTAAAATCAGGGCATACTTAGGGTGAAAAAACTGTTAATCCAGTAAACCAATCATGTGTACATTAAAATTCCACTTGCGGGAAGAAGTCTGGAATAAGAACTTTTAGGGAAGTAAAAAAAATTCCAGAACTGCCACCAGCCCTGTGCCTTAATCAAGTGACTTCCTTTTGGCCTCAGTTCCTCCTCTTAAAATATCAGGGTAGAACTAGTATTCCTGGCTTCTTCCAACTTTGAGTTTCATAGTTGTAACACAAAAAGGAATAAGTGACTTGATTTTCTCACACAGGTATTTATTTTTCATTCATTCATCCAAAAAATATTAAGTGCCTTCATGAGCCAAACACTCTTCAGGTGCCTTACTTCGTATATCGATATTTATAGTCAATTTGGACAATAATTATGCCATTACTGATTTAAATTTCTTTTAAAAATTTCATCAAATATAGCTGGATTTGGCTGTTTAAAAAATGAAATCTCTTAATTATTTTAAGTTTTAAAGACATGGGCATAAGTCGGAACTAAAAATTTAATATCCATGCAATGTAAATTTATTATTGTTTCTTGTTTCAGTGTGTTCCAGTTACACACAGATACAAAATGCACCCATTTGCAGAAATGGAGAGGGGATAAGTGGGTAAGGGATAAAAAGCC